CTTAAGTTTCAAACCCACATTGTTGAAGTAATTTAGGATAACACCAGTCTACATAATATGGCGTAATATCTCCACCATATGAATCAAAACTAAATAAAAATATGAACAATAAATAGAAATAAAACAAAAAAATAAACATTTCCAATGGCGAATATACAAACAAAAAGAAAGAAAGAAAGAAAGAAAGAAAGAAAGAAAGAAAGAAAGAAAGAAAGAAAGAAAGAAAGACACGTAAATTATTTGAGGCTGCTACCATTCATTTAAAGAATGGTGAAAATGTATTTCCTTACTTCATTTTGAAAAAAACATTTGCTAATATAGTTTTTTTTTAAAGCGGGAGCGTCGTCACCTGCGCACGCGCGAGAATTGAGTCCCAAGCGACAAAAACAACACACGCTAAAAACGCAAAGGCTCATGGGTAGATGCTTATTTGTAAAAAAAAAATGACACGCTATGGCCATCTGACGCATGCGCAGGTGACGATTCCCCCGCTTTAAATATTAGCTGACAATGAGTTCCAAATGAGAGTGGTTCTGCAATGAAACGTGCGTTGACCCTGTGGTGTTAAAGTTATGTTATATATAAATTGGACATGTTTACAGAACGAGTATCATAATCGTGTATATCAGCTGTAAACTGCAATTTAGCGGTAAAATAAACAGGTGCGATATTTAAAAGTCAGAAGGGCCGTGAAACAGTTAATCTTGTGATCGATTGCATGATTTGTGGCCAACAAATCATTTCGAAATGGGGGTGTCAGCGTCGGAGGACACTTTTTTGTAGTTTATAGATTTTAATAAGGTTAGTCTTACTCGTATTGCCCCCAAACCAACTGCCTTATAATACTGTCGAAATGGCCACAATTTAATAAAAACACAACAATCATTTTCTCAAGAAAAAAAATATATATCTTATATTGACCGGCAGTACAATTTATTTCAAAATGAATTCATTAAAGAAACATTGAACCAATCAAAACTCTGGTTTCATGACACGTTCTAATTGGCTAACAAAAGCCTCAGGCTAAACGCGATTTGTAATAGGTCAGACGTCAGCGTCACATATATATAGATATATTGATTCTTAGATATGTGAGGTTATTTATATATCACTGCTTTTAATATAAATTTGGCGATAGTATATAGATTTTAAGATATTTCGCTATTTCAAATATTTTGAGTGATATACAGTGGTTTACGTGCCAGAGGATCAGCTGTACATATGGATAGTTTTGTGCATTTTGGACCACACGGTTTCACACAGTGGTCAGATATAAGATACTCTGCATAGGCTCACCTTTAAAAAATAGAGTAATAACTTATATAAAGTGTTTGTAAATTGGTGAGCCACTACGTTTCACAGTTCGGTGACGTACCCCAACACATATAATAGGTTTGAATAATGTCCCCCTCTAGCGACGACAACTGGAGATGCCGTAGCAACAACGTCGACTTGCCATACAGTATGTACTTGCATATCGCTGAGTTAGGTTGACCCAATCAGACAAGTTCATCGTCCCGACTGTTTTATTAAAGGCAGATTCAATCTTGTACGATTAATTGAAATAACCAAGTAACTCTACATGATGAGCAATACCTATCTAACACATACTGTAGTTATCCCAGGGCGTCTTTGAAATTACAGCCTTTTTTTTAGCTCAATGCTCTATCATATGAAGGGTCTGTGTTTTAATCACACTGGCTAGATACGGGAGCAATTCATTCGGGTCTGGCGTGCTGCCGTCGAGGCAGACTGTAATCCCCGAGATCACTTGCATGAGTAAACGACACTAGCAAGTCCATAAAAGTCACTAGTTCCGACTCTCCACCGTAGCGCTTTCCCACAGCAACAAGTGCAGTTAATAAATCGGGCAGCATTTCTGAGTATCTCGTAAATTACGTAGTAAAGTTTCAGTAATTGCCTATCGATTTGTCATTTATTCCTTTTTAACCCGACAACGCTTTTGTGCTAGTTTACACCAGAGTGGAAATATTACGAATCACTGGCACTGCGCCGAAATACAAAAGATTGGCAAATTGCCAGCTTACCCCAGGGTCGAGATGGACTCAAAAACATACACTATTCAAGTCATCATGTCGAGATAGGGTTGATAGTCAATCAACATAGCGACCAATCAAATGCGAGAAAGGTTGACAGCAACGTTCTTGTAAACAACTTGTCAATCACTTTGATGTACTTTGCATACAAATGAGGTTCGTATTTTTGGTCATTCGTTTCGTTCGTAGGCCACACCCCTGTTGTGCGTTCACATGAATCATCCATTCACCGAGAAGAATGGGTGTCACATGATTGCAAACGCCAATCACTTGAGCCGCCGTATACGTCATTTTGGCGGGACTTTGTTACGCATAGATAAACACGGGGAAAATAACTCACAACCCCGCGTATACGGTGTCACTATCTCTCTAATCTACGCAGTGTGCGGATCTAGCTCAGGATTTTACGCGTAGAGTTGTGGAATTATACGCCAAAGCTTTCCGATCGACAGTTACTTGTAGACGATGTCGATCCGACGTGGAGGAGTTTGCGGAGTCAAGTCGAAAGCTTGCCGGAATTTATTCGGACCCGTTGACCACGAAGAGGTCGATGCGTATTTGAAGAAGGAACTGGGGAAAATACAGGAAGAACAGAACCAGAAGTGGAATTTTGATTTTGGTACAGACACTCCTCGTGATGGCAGTTTCGAGTGGGAGCCTGTCTATGACAACGTCCCACAATTTTACCAGGCGAGAATTCTAGTTTCACCGAGGTGTGTTAAAAGGACTAGTCACCCCGATAATGTGACGGACACGAGACTCACTACTACAATTACAAACCACAGTAGTACGGCATGTGGACTCGGCGATCACATACGCCCAACACAGAGTGACCAAATCGACGAGAATACGCCGTCCCAATCCGATCTCCAGAAACAGCCGGATAACTCATTTGCTACCCCTAAATCGCGTGGAACAAATAAATACAGTAAAAGGACAAGTGCAACAAGAAAAACAACAAAACTTACGAGGGCGAATCAAATACAGATTTCAGGTAAATACGATTTTCCATTCGTAGTATTTTATCATTCCCCAACCAAGTTATCGTACTCGTAGTAATTCGGGGTCTTGCCCTCAGCGCGTCCAATTACAATGAACCTTTTGAGTTGTAATAAATTACTACTACAATATCGTAGATTTGCAATGGTTTTCTGTTTATCGTACGGTTAAAACTTAACGCAGCGACCACGTAGATGCTTACCAGCACAAATTTGAATAGTAAACACTTATTTACTATTCTGGGCACTGACTTCACTACCGCTATTGTCTGGCCAGGGGCTTTTGTCGGCTATGTGTGCATGTCTTAACTTGTACCGGGGACTCCCCTGTTGGTCAAAGTGCCTGGACAAAAGAAAAAAAAGGTTCATACTTCCGATATCTACTCAGCCGTTTCTAATTTCTATATATATATATATAATGTGACTTCCGAATGAAACAAGTGGCGACATGCTCATATCGGAAAAGAAATATTCACCCTGCGTGTGATTCCGTTCTTTTGTTTTTGCCCCTAGAGCCATTTAGCCTATCAATGCGTCTGGACGAGTTTCGATGATATTATCCTCGCACGCAGCGACCGTCGTTCATTGTATTATAAATCTTTTCTCGATTAATCAAGAAATCAAATAGTTAGAATCTGAATTCACATCTTTCGTGATAACAAAGTAATTGTGTGGATTACTTAGATATATAACCGTTGTTTTATTTTGTTTTGTGACAGCAGACTGCTTTAGGCAGCGGAAATCACCGAAGAGAAAGCTACAACTATGTGTGAATGATCAGACCGGTTCAGCCATCATGTCAGTTGAAAAACAGCCAAGGATGGTGGAAGAAACTGTGCAGTCATAATGTTATAGGTAATTATACATTTTTCACTGATAAATTGTAGTTGTGTTAGATTTGCAGCAGTCTTTGTTCTGTTTTCACAGTGGGTGTTTCTCCCGAATCTCTACTGTGTTTACACAGAATCCGCTTCATGTTGTTTTTTAAATCAGTTTTCCTATTAGTCGCTAAAATATTCACCAATTATTAGAAAAATAAAGACCTCGTAGGCAGTAATTGCGTGTTGTTAAAAAACGACGCGCACGTGCCGGGTACAGGGCCTTTTGTTCCAACCAATTTTAATAGTCATTTCAAATCAATTTAATCTCATTTCCCAAGCCTTCTTTTGTTTTATCTCGACCTACGCTACAACAGATGGTACAGCTTCCAGTTGCTTAGCAACATACCAGTTACTATAAATTTGAATACGATTGTTAAAAGTGGCGTATTGTTGTTTCGCCACCTGTTATGTCAGGCAATCTGTGCCCACGAAAGGGCACAGGTGTTTGGCTTTCACACCCACCCGCATATTACAACGAATTTGTAACACTCAGTTGAATATTCAGCAAATGAAATACAACTCCATGCGGCGTAATTAATGATCACGAACTTGACCAAGCGATTATAAATTCACATCAAATATTCACCATTTATTTTGTTATCTTCCCTTGCCAATTTCTGGGGTTTCACTTCCTGCCAAATGTCAGTCAGCTCTTTTATGTTCTTCACTTCACTTTAGTGATTCCTTGCTGTAGTAAAAAGTAAAAAAAATCCCCTGGTAACAACCATATGTAACAATCAATAAACAGCCAAGCATTTTTACAACCAAAACTGACATTCTGATTTTTAATTGCGTAAACTTTCTTTTATTCAGATATTTTACTACTCATCCATATGTGAACTAAGTGCTACTATACTTCTCAAAACAGTGTAAAAATAATTAAAACTCGACTCTTTCCAAAAGCTATTCCTTATTTGTCAGTACTTCCACTATGCATATAGACCGTTAATTATACATAATTTAATTAAAATTGGGTTTAATCAGACAACAATACATGCTTAATTATTTGTTTTCTTTCGAAATTAGCTCAATGCATTCAATTAAAATCTAGTGTATATTCAAATTTAACAAATAAAATTTCCTTCATAAAGCAATGAATTTAAAATCAAGTAAATACCCTACAATGTCAGCTCTGAAACATTACATGCATTCTAAAGACAATGGTGGGAATAAATACTGAATATTTTTCCTACATTGACAATTTATATTGAATATTATGAATACCTAAATAGTCTGATTATGAAACTAACATTATTATACAGTACTCAAAAGTTTCAAACTGAAACAATTTTGTGAAATATACAAATACCGGTAATATTCATGCGTTTTTGACAAGTGGTGTTTGTTAAGAGTTTATTTAAACTGTCTTCAACTGTTTTCCCATTGAGTCTCACTTCCAGGCCTTGAATACAGCTAACTTATCTTTTGAATGGACCCTGGGTTTTTTTTTTCACTGTTTAAGTAAACAACTTGCTCCCTTTCAGTAAACAAATTCCCAAATTGAACAATGAATAAAAACAAGTTGCAGAGCAGGTCAGAAGTAAAATGAATCCACAACTGTAGTTTTATAGGCTGCTCTCTTGTCTGACTTTAGTTCTTGTTAATGCAATAAACTAACACAAAGGATTACCAGGGAACTGAAACTGTTTGTTACAGTGTCGTTGGACCCCACCCATTGTGCAAGGCAGTAGTGGTGCAGAAAGTCCTAGAAAAAAGCTGAGAAAATGTGAATGCATGAAAAATGAAAACTGTGGGCCGAAAATAATGTAGTAATATAGTATTGAGAGTTGCATTTAGAATTTTGACTTGATGACTTCCCAACATGTGACTTGCAGAAGTGCAAACATATTAGACTTTAAAATAACAGACATTGAAAGCAATAAATAGAGGTGGGGGGGGGGGGTAATCCATAAACCAGTTATTAGTAACCAGTAATTAGGGATAGATAAGGGATATTAATAACTATTTGTTAAACAATTCTTTCATATTCATATTTAAAATATCAATAATGGCTGCAAAGTAAAATGCAGCCATTTGAGACATAACAAAAATGTTTGCATTGTCTGTTTCAATCATGCCCATTGCCTGGCATGGCTACTCAACACTGTCACTTATCAGTCTGTTTTAATATTGTTTCCATAGCGATATATTCACATTCTGTTGGGCATACTGTTCCCTATTACTAGTGTATATTCTAGACCAGTAGGTTGCCAAGACGATAATGCACGTCAATACAATTCTAATGTTTCTGTCTCTTCTTCTGATTTCAGTAGATATGATGTTTGTACTGGTACTATCAGCAGCCAAAACAATGCCACTGGAAGCCAGCCAACACATATGTCTGTGCTCAGATGCAAATGGATTGGACAACATGTGTGGAAAAAACTGGCATTCTGCCAAGTTTCTGATGACTAAAGGAGAACCTGGTAATGTTTCTGCTGGTTGGCGTGGCGACTACAGCTGGTCTGGAAAACCTTTGTAGCTTAATCATTAAGCAATGCTAAATATGGACTTGTCATCAACAGACAGTTAGCATATAATATCAAGATTTCATATTTATATACGTTACAGGTCATGAGGTCACATGACTGTTTTAACTATGTGCTGGTATTATAGTTTCTTACATGTTTTGCCAGGGGTGTTACATTATGCGAAACTGTCATCTTATCGTAAGCCTGTTGCATTGTTGTAAAATATTTTTTTTAGAATTTTCGGTGCTCAGTTTTTCACTGCCAGTTTATTTACTAGCAAATATCACTGCCATGTTTTGACATGGTCTAAATTTTTAACAGCTGTATACATATTGCAACTGTTGTTCATTATCAATATAATGTTTATGCTAAATATTGTGCAGCTGTTAAAAATTTATACCAAGTCGTGTTTCAGGAAAACCAAACTTACGCAAGTTTTTTTTTTAAAAACCAAAGGATATGTACTTTCATGCTAGTATTATCTGTACATATTAAAGCCATCATAGATTAGACATATTTCTAAGTCTGTTTAAGTAAGATTAGAAAAATCCTGATTGCTGTTATCCAGGAGGCTTTATCTGATGATCTCAAAACTTGGTCTCTGTCTCCTTTATTAAGGGATTTAATTGAAATGTTTAAATAAAAACATTCCATCACATCACAATGTGTTTTACAAATATTTATATTGTATTGAACATGTTGCAATTCACAAAAACAAAATTACTTTTCCCTCATATAAATGGTTTTGAACCAGACCAGATATGTGTTCAATTTAATGGTTTCAAGTGTTTTTAGTCAACTACCCCTGTGTAAAATGGGTTATTCCATTATTTTTAAATAATTTGCAAGCCAACAATTCCCATGTATTGGTATTCTTGCATACCAATTTTCCTACCCATGTCTATAATGGTTTATTCCATTGTTTTTAGATATCAGTTTGACAGATTCAGCCCCTACCCTTCCTTGTTTGGTTTTTAAATTAAATTTATTCTCATTCAGCTTGGCTCAGTTCAACTAAAACCATCCATACAATACTTGGCCAGTTCATGTTCTTCAGCATTTTAATTTTTTAACATTATTTATTTTTTTATTTTCAAAAATATAATAATTGGAATAATTTGTGAGATGAAAATACATGTTACTTTGAATATGTAAATTGCTTGTACATAAATAAAATATTTTTTTTGTGTTAAACTTATTTTCTTGCATTTGTATTGTCTGTTTCAAATGAAGAGCCGCCTTCTGTATGTTTCAAACTTCTAAATACTACTTTATTTTTGCAAAAGACGAATTTTTGCTAATTTTTTAATTCTGAAAAAACAACAAAATAATGTTGTAGTGAGCATTTCCTCAGCCAACAGCAGGGACTACCCCCATGAATGCCATCAAATTCTATCGCAGAAAAAGTGACAAAAAAACTTAAGTACTGGTATACATAGTTTCATAAGAGTGTACCATGATATTATTATCTACCCAATGGACGCAAGTACTGTAAAATGACTAATTTTCACTTTCATTTTCCAGTCAGCGAAATGAGCAAAATTAAAACCCAGTGAATAATTAATCCTTTTACAGTATACACCTGCATTCTGTAAATGCAAATTTTATTTTTTACCAGATGCACTATTTGACCGATCCTAATGCCTTTGCAAATGAATTCAGTCAGTTGACTTTTAACAATCAAATTTTCCTGTCCCTGAAAAATTAATATGTTTCACAATGGAATGTTTTACAGTGGTGACGATATTAATATTCAAAATTCATCTCTTCAAAAGATTAATATAAAGAGCACTTTGAATAAATTTCAGTCATTGGTACGAATAATTCTTTATCAATTAAAAACTTTTGGGGCAGGATTTATACATGAACATGTTATGGAGAAATGGTTATATGAATATTTTATAAATTTACATCATAATTTTTATATTATCTCGTTCTGTGAAGGTAGAGCATGAATAAATAAATAAATAAATAAATAAATATGAAATGAGGATTGAGATTCTAAGTTCACTCATTCTGTATAAAATATTTTTTTCATAATTAAAGCGAAATATCCTACCCCCTCCAAGAATATTGGGAAAATAAATAATCAAAGTAAGAATAGTATTCATAAATTCCATAATTTTCAACTGCGAAGTGGAAGAGGAAAATTCAGAAAAGAAAACGCAAATATACAATTTGTTGTATCAGGTGTGATAACTTCGTATCTATATTTAGTACGCTAGATGTTCTTTTGTTAGTGGTCACATGACCACTTTTGAGTTTGTAATGGCGGCAAAGCTTGCCAAGTTGTAGATTGCGGTTCCACCGAATAAACCGCCGTTTTCCTGTGTGGATCATTGCGGTAGTGGTTAGGCGAACACTCGGTTACCATATCAGGCATTCCTTGATTGTCTTGATTCATATTCTTATGTAGTCTTTTAAAAATACGACGAAAACAAGAAAATATTACATGTACTCCGAAGATTGGTATTAAAGTTACATGTGTAGCTTTGAGTCAAAAACACTGCAGTTGGAAACTGCAAATTGTTTTGAAAACTGTCTTTTAGAATTTATATCAAAACATGACTTTGTTGGCTTGTTCTGTAAGCGCCCTTGTTTTATATGAATGCAGTGCAACTTGAAGTAGACTTCGTGACCTTTTCATAACCCTCGTATTAACCGCGGATCCGTAACCATCTATTGCTACCGACAGCTTTCTTCTGTATTTTCTTTGATTCTCACGTCTGTGTTTAACTATAAACCGACAGTATTAATTAAATACGTGGGTTATGTACCGGTCATCCACTAGCTCCACTCAATGCAAGGTTTCTATGAGCCACCGTCGTCTCGTACCTCCTCAGACTTATAGTAGTCTGAGGTACCACCTAAGGGCTGACCAATTTTGGAAACCGGGAGAAGTTTAGAAGTATTGATAAGTTGGATAAGAGAGCATTGAACAGGGTTGTAGAATGCATAATGTAAAACAAAAGTCAAAAATCAGAAGAAAAAAACATATCTAGTCGCCATGCTCATGGTGAAAAAACACAATTTGCTGTACCCCCCCCCCCATTCTTTAAAATGCGTAACCTCTCTGTACAAGAACAGTTTCTGTGTTTACGCGAATAACGTCTTGGTAGTCGGCACAAGACAGCTCCACATATAAAACTACATTTGAAATACATTTCAAACGAGTAAAAATCAAAATAACAAAAAAAAAAAAAATCCAGGATTACAGAATGCATGTTACATGTACGACGTCCCGTCATAGTAATATTATTTGCTTGTCTTTTAACTACATTTGTTCTCTGCACGTAATAAACTCGGTTATTAAGCATCCCTTTTTGGGGATGCCCGGTGGCCGAGGGGAAGACGTGTAGTGGCGTGAAGCTAGGCGATTAGGTGCCGTACGCGAGCGCCGGTTCGAGTCACGCACGCAGTATGTGTTTACTATAATTAGACATAGTCTTTACCTTGCCGTTTATTCGGTGTTATTTGCTTACTTTTATAAAGAGATAGCTGACTTGTTTTTCGCCATTTTCACAAAGACAAACTCTTTGCTGTTATACTAGTACTAGTAACGGATCTTTGTTCAATTTGTATTGCGAACAACTTTGTTAATAGTTTGCTTATCTCAATGGATCAAGTCATGGATCAAGTATAATCACAGTGATAGATATATAGATACAGGGTGTATAGGATATAAAGTGCTGAACAAATCGCTCCCACGTAAGATATATTAATATTATGATGTGATTGAATACGTAAAACATATTCAGCGTGATTATCATGGTAATTGAAAAATCAGAAAAAAATTAGTTCCCTAGCCGGGAATCGAACCCGGGCCCTGTGGGTGAAAGCCACATATCCTAACCACTAGACCACTAGGGAGAACACGGACGCCTTAAAGGGCATGTCATATAGTTGAGCTACACGCGGATAATATTTTTGTGCGTGCTTATGATAAGATTATTAAATAATATTTGATTTGTGAAAGTCTCGTTATTGTCATCATATCGCCGCTATGACCACCGTGGATACAATCTATAGCAGTAAACTTGAGTTTAATCCTATAATCACTAATTGACTCATTTAGAAATACTAAGTGAGACCATGGTAAATCTATGATGGACAAATAACATGAAACAAAACCCCCCAGACAGAGGTTTAATATAAATTTATCTGTTTAGTAAACTCTCAATGTTAATAACGAATAGATGAGCTTATTTTTGTTACTACAAAGGGCGGTGGTAACGTTTTCGAATTTCATGTGAATAAACAATGTATTTTACACGCGTTGTATACGTCGCTATGAGTCACATATCGAACAGAACTCAACGCGACGACCGCCGCTCTTTAAGTTTGTTAAGTGATTTTAAGCAAAGACAGATATATATACAGACTATACTGTCTATGTTTTAAGTTACGCGATCTTTGGAACATGACAGATTATGATAGGGAGATAGTGTATTTTTTTGTCGACAATTGTTTCGTTTTATAGATGAACTTCGTATATCAATGGATCTTATACATAGACAATATCGCAATTCTAAATTATAGTGCATTTTTGGATAATTTTGTCAGGTTGCACGAGTACACGCTTTGTGGTTATGGAGTTCAAGTTCGGTTCGGTTCGGTTCGGTCAAAACTATTCCACAATTCAAGTTAACTTCCAAAGGTTGCACATCCGGGCACTTCTTTTGGTTTTTGCACTACAGTCATTACTACCTGCATCAGGGGATCGAAAAGTTGAAAGCGAATTGAATTTATACCCCAGACAGTACCAGGATGTATGACCCTTTAGAGGTCAAGTCAAAGGTGGTGCAGATTTATTCACATTTGCAGTTTACACTAGGTCGGTTTCCGTCCTCCCACGCATTCGCTGATTCACTTGAGCAATTTTGAAGTTTGACTACTTTTTAGGGGACAGTGATATCAAAACATTTAGTTATTTACAGTGCGATACTGAAGTTTGGACTGTTAAATTAGAATGAAACTCCCTAGGTCGGCGAATAAAAAGACGGGCATTCCGAGCCAATGGTATTGAATTCACCGTCTCCAAAACGAAGAAATATTCTTTGTAAACTTACGTGACGTTTTAGGACCGACCCTTACTATTCGGTTTTGATTTTATGTAGTCGGATGTTTGTTTCTGTTAAGTTTGCATGTGTAAGTCATTTTCTATATTATATCCACCCCTATATAATTCAGCGCTGGCTGATTTCACTTCCGATTACATACGGGTCACTAAGGCCTTCCACTTGTTTACCAGAAACAGATACAGTTACATACCACACTATTTTTTTCAATCATTAAATTTCTCGCAAGTTGACAACTGCTCGTGTGTGTGCTCTTTGATTTGACATTAGGCCGCATGCCGGACGTCAGTACACAGTAAATAAAGGGACGCATAGCTCCAGGCACTGTCGGTCGCCCGATAAGAAGCTCACTCCGTAATAAGAGAACCCGATGCTGGAGGTTGCTTGACATGGACTCTAACATCTAAGCTCATCCGAGCATTTCCTGTAGTGTCCCTACATCGTGTGTTCTCTCATCGACTAAATAAGTTAGGGGTTGGGCATTAAAGATTCGAGGAGTGGGAGACAATAGACAAATTGTGCAAAAGTTTGTTCTAATTGTTTATTTGCTTCTATCAAATATGTGCGGGATATTTATTTATTTATTATATATTTTTTTTCCTGTAGATTTTTGCTGTTGTTCAAAATTTTGTCAGTGCGATTCTGTTTTCGGATTAAGTGTATAATTTACGCTGAAGTGTCAGTAAAAGCGTGGTGATACGTCGTGTTACTTGGCGTGTGTTTATGATATTGTCACGCTAATAGCTCGAAAATGAATATTTGGTCGGCTAAACATTGATTTCCATCTGTCTAGATGCAGATTAACAAGCCCTGATCAATCCCATAACGTGACGTTTATGTGTGTGATGATAGTATATAGAGGGATGCGTGTTTGTGTTTATGTTTGACAACAGAAGGTGGCGCGGCGAGTGAGGTATTTGTTTACTCAGTACTTTCGAATAACGACGCGAGGGTGGGGCGTTACTGCCACAGATGAGAACCGCGGATAACAGATTTATTTTTATTTCTATTTTCTGAATAAAATGACAGCTAATGCCCTATTACACTGAAACCAAAATTACACCTACTACTTTCACGTGCAGCCTACTAGCACCAAGATGGTATTAAGAAAAGAG